AAGTCTCATTTTCACATGACATAAAGTCACAACATTTGGGTCATGATTTTAACTTTCACAACATGTCACTTTGAAAACTGAAAGTCATTATGTCATGACATCCAGATTAATGTTGTCACTTTAATGTGAGAATTAAACTGAGTTTGATTTCCTGTAACATCTGCCATGACTTCACTGCTCAAAAAGGATTTCACACGGTCAGATTGCAAAAGTCACATGAAAATGACCATTGCCAGTGTTCTTTTTTTTTTTGGTACATATTGGTGAAATTCATTTTGCAGTCTCGGTTTGTGACTGTGTAACAAACATAATGAGATGAGGCCCGTGCTAGTAGCATAATGTCATAGGCACATAACAAATGGTACAGATCCTATACCCATATGTTACCGAGTTATCTTCATTACAAGGTAACTTCAATGTTACATCTAATTTTAGTAAATAAGAAAATTAAACAGTTATGGGTTCATGTACGTTTTACATGCTACTACCGTAACATCTATTTTACAGTGAAGCAGGATGGCATAATGTCTGGTATGAACCACTTCTTATGGCTGAAACATAAAAAATTGCAAGCATTCTAATCATGGCATTCAAATCCCATGTCAGGTATTAGTGATATTTAAACTGCTTCGTGTGTTGGTCTGTTACTCCAGTCTGATATGAGTCAATGCATTTATTCTCAGCCGTATATACATCCATTACGAGTAGAATGTGGGTCAAACTTAAAAGCATGCCGTGAACAGTGAAGCAGACTTTCACTTGTAAAGGATGTAATGTACGAGGGTCGTACTGAAAGTCAGGAGCAACGATTTTTTGTAAAGCAACATGCTTTATTTTTGACAAACCAATATACCACCTCAATCTACAGACCTTTCTTTATTTTTACACATAATCGCCATTTCTTTGTACACATTTCTCCCAGCGTTCTGGGAGTTTGAAAATTCCCCTTATGTAAAATTCCATTCCAGCCATTCGAAGACACTAACGCACAGCTTTCTGAATTGCCTCGTCTCAAAACGTTGTCCATGCAGCTGATCCTTCACAAATCCGAAAAGATGGTAGTTGGAGGGTGCCAGATCAGGGCTATAGGAGGGGTCTGGAAGAACTTCCCACCCCATCTTTGCAATGCTTCCAATGTGAGGTGAGTGGCGTGGGGGCAAGCGTTATCATGCAGGATGATGATGTTTTGTCCCGGACTTTTATCGCACAATGCACGACGGAGCTTGTGCAGCGTCTGGATATAATGAGCAGCATTGACGGTTTGCCCAGGTTCCAGGAATTCGGCCAGAATAAACCCCTCTGCATCCCAGAAGACTATGCCCATCACCTTCGCAGCTGATGGCACTGTCTTTGCCTTCTTTTTTGATGGAGAATGCAAATGGTGCCATTCCATAATCTGCTGTTTCGTTTCAGGCTCGAAATGGTGAAACCAGCTTTCATCACATGTCACAATACAGAGCAAAAAATCATCGCCTTTGTGTCAATATCTCTGCAGTAGTTCAGAGGTGATGGCTTTTCGCTGACCTTTGTGGTCTTCGGTCAATAACCGCGGGACCTAACGAGCACAAACTTTCATATAGCCCAAGCTTTCAATCATCTCCTGTACTACACTGTGCCCTATTCCAAATTTTCAGGCTATTGTGTCCACAGTCACATGCCTGTCTTCTTGAATGATCTCATCCACTCTTTCCTTGTTGCATTCAGTTGAGGCTGTTCGAGGACGACCTCTCCGATGCTCATCTTTGATGCTGGTGTTCCCATCTTTAAAATGTTTCACCCATTTCGAACACTGCTCGTACCCATGCACACAATTCCATAAGCACGCTGAAGTTTCTGGTGAATTTCTGCAGCAGGGATTTCCTCTTTCACAAGAAACTCGATGATAGCATGCTGGCAAAACAACATATCATTGTCAGCCATTTTGTTAGGAGTGATACTGGTCACGTGATGCAAACTATTGACATCACAAGACACTCAAGGTTAACACAACAGCTGGTTCCACCTATCACCATACTCTCTTTCGTCTGCTGTTCCCAGGTTGCATGCAAAAAAAGTTGCTCATGACTTTCGGTATGACCTACGTAATTACCATTTAGTCAGAAACAGAAGAGGTTACGTAATTTTAAGAAAATTTTTACCTCTTCATAAAGAAGATTAGAATTTTGAATCATTTGATATTTGCATATCCCCATGATAACCCCAAAGAAGAAATATTGGCACCCCCACATTATTAAAACTATTATTAAAATGAAGTGCCATACTGTATTATATGGAAATAGAAGTTAAGAGACTGACTTCAAGTTACATATTTCAATCATTTTTTTATATTATGAGTATCCATCAGAACAAGCATTCTTCCAAATTTTATAAATTCTAATAACATGGAGGCTGCATTTTAGACTGGTGTTTGTGACCACCTCTGTGGTCTAGTGGTCACAGTTCCTGGCTACAGATCCAGAGGATCCGGGTTCGATTCCAGATTTTCTGGGAAGCAGTGGGTCTGGAACGGGGTCCACTCAGCCTCGTGAGGATAACTGAGGAGTTATTTCAAGGAAATCATGACTCTGGTCTAGAAAACTGAGATTAACCCGTTGCCGTGGTTCGTCGTGTATGTTTCGTCAGGGATTTAAATCGTCTGGGGGGGTTCGACGTGTATGTTTCGTCCAGCTGCACACGTATGTTATAACGCCCATAATAATTGATGGTTTTGCTGTAGATTGTTAGATTTTTCACTGGCCTGTTGTCAGGAGGACTGTATTTAATGACACACGCGTTTAAGAGCGCTAAGTCGTCGTTACATATGCCTGTCTTGCAGCAACGTTCCTGTGGCTATTGCGAGCTGTTTCTGTTATGAATGATGTGTTTTGTTTGCTCTGAAGCTATAAACACCAGAGACTGATATGTGCTGGTGTTTATAATATCATATTGCCCTGAGCTGGCTATTCAATTGGAATTCTTAGAAGAGGGATGTACAAAAGTTTATGCCTGCAAAATCGATTGCTTTCGCACAGTACATAGCACCCA